AAAGGCCGCTATGAAGACTGAAAATTCCAAATTCACGTTTCTAAGTTACTGTCTCAACATTTTAATTGGCTCATTTTGTTAGACACAGAGATTGATTTTTAAGTTGGTGTTATTTGTCTCAGTTATAGGACAATTAGAAACAAACAGTTTATATTCATTTTTGAAAGTTACTATGATCTCCAAACAATAGGCCATTTATTTGCCTTTTACTTGATCATTGTTTTATCCAATCATTGTTTTAAATTTCCCTTTAAAATGAGCAGTAGTAAGAGGTTTAAAACAAAGACTATGTACACTGACTGCCCAGCCCATTGAAATCAAGTCCTTTATTATCCATAGGAGGGTGATGAAATGCCAAGCTATGATTTTCTTTATATCTATACTGTGGATTTGTCTGAGATTCTGAAATGTAAGGACTGCTTGCTTTTAGAGTTCTGAAAAGCACTAATTGGACTCAGGGGTTATTAGCAGTAAAGCATAAAAAAGTTAAAAAAGACAAAGTTGAGAGGGGTATGGGGTGAAGAGCACCAGGAATTTTATGGAGTGGATATGATCAATACACATTATAGAAACATATGAGGATTTCAAAGAATAAAAGATACAATTCAATAAAAGGGATTTTGGAAAATACCTTTGTTTTCTCTTTTCTTATTTTTTTTCTCCTTCTGTAGAAATTCCAATAAAAAAAGATATTGGGAGCATCAGGTGTTGGGGTGATGGCTCAGTGGTTAAGAGTGCTTGATGTGAAAACCTGAGGGCCTGAGTTCCCAATCTCAGCACTCACATAAAAAACTGGGCATGGTCACATCGACCCACAACTCAATGGAAAAAGCCTAAGTCAGAGAGTGAGAGAGGAGTGTACCCAGAGTACTCCCCTGCCTTCTCTGCATATGATCATATACACACATATGTGTATACACACACACACACACACACACACACACATACACACTCACACACACAGAAGGATATTGACTTTTCAGTATGTTGTTCAATAAAAATAAATTTCATGTATACTCTTTTGTTGTCTTGGGGCTGTGGTCAAATGTTTTCTATGCTTGTTTTTGGGATCTTAGGGATCTGTGAATGAGAATGGACTCCAGAGGCTCACATGTTTGAAAGCTTGGTCCCCGGTTACTAGAACTGTTTGGCAAGGATTAGGAGGTGTGGCCTTGTTAAAGGAAGTGTGGCCTTGTTAGAGGAAGTGTGGCCTTGTTAGAGGAGGTGTGTCACTGTAGGTGGGTTTTGAGGTTTCAAAAGCCCAAGCCAGGATGGATGAGGCAGGGGGACAGGAATGGGAAGATCAAACACAGAGGGAGAGGAAGATATGATAGAGGAAGGAGGGCATATAGAGAGGAACAGCTTAAATTCAAGGCTATTTGAGGAGTTTTATGGAAACCTAATACAGTAGAAGCTTGCTAAAATATATACATCACACACACACACACACACACACACACACACACACACACACACACACACAAGATCTAAATGCAATCACCAAATAAAAAGGAAACAGAGCCCCAACCGAATATCTTTCATCAACAAATGAAGCTTACAGTACTGGGGATGGGCCACACCTAACGGAGTTCTTGGTTAAATGGGTCCCATGGGAACCCCCAAACAAGCCAGGCTATTGCCAAGGCTATGGGTAGTAAGACCCTGTTGCTGAAGACAACATCTATACAATGTGCTATACACAGAGAAGTTGAGCTTGTGCCTTCACCCCTACGGACTAGTATTCATGGTACTGGGAGGTACTCCGTACACCACCAAAGGAGAAAGGTAAACACCAACCCAACCACAAACCCTTCAATCTACAAGAGTGACCTGCCTGGAAGATGCAACAGTGCCACAGAGTCTGTGAAGTAACCAACCAGTATACGATTTGAGTTAAGACCCACTGCATGAGATTGAACTCATATTTGACATTGCTTGGGTGACCAAGAACCTGAGACTAAATTGCCCAGGGACCTAGAGGAAAACCGAACACTGCTGTTATGCTGAAGGAACATGGTCATAAGAATGACTCCTAAAAGCATTCTGCTATATTTGTAGATCAGTGCCTTGTTCAGAGAAACTTCCTCCTGTGGCAGATGGGAATAAATATAGAGACCCACAGTCAGACAATATACAGAGAATGAGAGATCTTGGAACACTCAGCCCTAAACTCATGTCTCCAACAAATCTTTCCCCTGCAGAAAAGGAGGCGGAAAAAACATAAGAGCAGAGGGGATGGAGGACTCCAGGGAATCAAAGCCATCCAGACACAACAGAGCTGGTGCACACTTGAATTCACACATGTGCAGGACTGCACAGACCTACATTAGATGGGGTCTTAGAGCTGAAAGGAAAAGTAGACATATGCCCCATCCCTAGTCCAGAAGCTATCTCCAATTGATAACCATTTGCAAATGAAAATTTAGTTTTCTCCAAGGGAATCTCATTGAGGGAAATAAGCCAATGTTCAGAATAGGCCCATATCTAGCAGTAGATGGTCAACACAAAATGAACTCAATAGCATTGAGGCTTAGTGTCTCATAATGTTAAGTCAGGGCATTTTTTTTTTAATTTTGTAGGCCCTTAGTGTATATATTATGGCTCCTGCCATTGTGTTTTTATGGGATTCCTGTGTGTGTAAACATGTGTTTCTCTGTGTATATATACATTTCCTGTGCTTTTGTTTTGTTTTTGGCTTCTTTTCTTGTTTGACTGTTTTTTTTTTTATCATATCTGATTTGTTTGTTTTTGATTTATCTTACTGTGTTTTATTTTATTATTATTCCTTAGACACCTGTTTATTTCCTAATGAGAGACTGGGAGGATGTAGATTTGGATGGGAGGGGAGATAGGGAGGAACTACAAGGGCTAGAGGAAGGGAAAATAGTAATCAGAATATAGTACGTGAAAAAAAAATCTATTTTCAATAAAAAAACAGCAACAACAAAATTCCACACTGGGCCTACTGTTTCTTTCTCTGCCTGTGGATTAGGATGTAAAGCTCTCAGCTACTGCTCCGATGCCATGCCTGCCTGCTTCCCACCATGATGATCATGGACTAACCCACTAACACTGTGAGCAAACACCCAGGTAACTGCTTTCTTTCATAAGAGTTGACTTGGTTATGGTGTCTTTTCACAGCAATAGAATGGAAACTAAGACAGGATCATTAACCAATCTTTGGCTATTGTCAAACTCACCCATGAGGCCTTATTTCAGATATTGTAATTTCAAGGCTTAGAATGATTACTTACTCCTTACACTTTTGAAGTCTTTGAATTCTGCATATTTCTATCACTTTCATATATATATATATATATATATATATATATATATATATATATATATATTTTTTTTTTCAAGACAGGGTTTCTCTGTGTAGCTTTGTGCCTTTCCTGGAACTCGCTTTGGAGACCAGGCTGGCCTCGAACTCACAGAGATCCGCCTGGCTCTGCCTCCAGAGTCCTGGGATTAAAGGCGTGTGCCACCACTGCCCCGCCATCATTCATATTTTTTTTTTTAGTTTAACATGTTAATCATTGTATCAAAATACAGTATTTCTTATTTTCTTTTAGTTACTGGTCTTGCTTTATTCTTATCTATTTTGGCAAAATCTTACCATGTAGTCCAGTTGAGCCTCAAATTGTGATCCTTTTGCCTCAGCTTCCTGATTATTGGGATTACAGGTGTGCACCACTGTATTCAGTCAAGGAACAACTGTAGAGTAATTGTGTCTTCTCACTCCTTTCCTGTTAATGATCTGCTACTGTATGTCAAATACTTACAAAGCCAGGGTCACAAACATGCAGGACTCCACTTCCAGCAGAGAATGCTCCTTTTTCTCTTTGAGAGGCCAGTAAACCCAAGGGCTCAACACCTTCTGAGAGGCTGTGTTAGAGCAAAACTGGGTTAACATGTTAGAGGACTCCTCATTCTCTAGTCCTATCCTTTCTCTGAGGCTTCAGTCTCCCAAACATTTTATGAAGAGATTTGGAAGCTGGGGAAAGACTTAGTCTATACTCTAGTACCTTGCCACAAAGTACATTTACATTATGAACATCTTGGGGAGACCTGCCATATTTTTAAGCCATGCCCCTTTTTTAATGCAGACTATCCCTCAAAATTATTACTCCCTAACCCCGTGTTTGAGTCAGAATTCATCAGATGTTTTCTAAGGAAAACAAAACATTCAGAGATACTTTTATTTGCAAGTTGTGGCCACTTGTATGAATGTCTCAGCGTGGCTGGGTTCTCTTTCCCTTCTGTGATCCTTCTGAATGAACCGGCTTTGATCTTTAGAACGTGCCAGAGAAAGCAAGTGTTCCCGGGGAGAGGACAGCTGGCGAAAGACAGCTCACTTCTTCGCTCTTTGAAATTTTTGTTTGTTTAAATTTGTTTGTCTAATACACTGATTTCTTTAAATATCGTTATTGCTGGGTTCTCTCTCTCTCTCTCTCTCTCTCTCTCTCTCTCTCTCTCTCTCTCTCTCTCTCTCTGTGTGTGTGTGTGCAATGAATTGTATTCTATGTGTCACCAGAAGTCTTCTTAGAGGAAACTTCTATGAAGTTTGGTGCAGCTATGTCCTTCCAACCTACTATTCTATAAAGAGACATTTGTCTGTTTTTAGAAAGGCTTCAGGACACACACACACACACACACACACACACACACACACACACACAGCCCACATGTGTGCCCAATCTGTACACATATATGATGGATGTTTAAAACCAAACTTTTGTGTGCTGAAAGTTGTAGCAATTATATTCCTTCACATCTTACACTCATGGTAATGCAGGTTACATACTCCAATAGCCATATTGGTACTCATTTCTTTTCCAATATGGGGGATATTTGTTTAATTATTTTCAAATAAGTAGTGCAATAATAAAAATTTTTTTGATTAGGTTTCACAGCCTCTGCTGGGTCCCTAAAAGTCTTGGTAAGGGTTCTTTGTTAATGAAAAGTTTGACTGTCCCCTTTTCTCTACAGGGGTGCTGAAACTGCATACAGCTGTCTTTCTGAGCATCAGTGCGGGAGATGTTCCTTAGATGCTGCCCTAGGAATGTGCTGGACCTGAGGAAGCACCCACTGACACAGAGTGTCTGTGTCTAAGGAGTTGTTGACTATCAGCATTTTTAGGTATGGTGGAGGCATTTGTTATCTTAACAGATCCTCCTCATGTGCCCAGAATAAATATTTCTTTGGGAGTTGAATTTCCAGAGCCCTGAGCTTTGGCCTGCTCTGATTTTCTATCTTTTTTTTTTTTTTTTTTTTTTTTTTTAATGCTTTGCCATCCCAATTTTGTTCCCCATATGAACTCTCTTGGTCTCACAGTTGTACCTTGACATTAAAAATTACCTAACAGACACCTAGCAAACTTGGCTTCATTTCATTCTAGTGGCGAGAGGGAGTTCTACCTGGCAGGTAAGGATATTGTAGGTAGAGAATTTAAGCATCCCCAGGAACAGTAGGTGACAGGATTGGAACCTAGGTCAATTTCCTTCTTTTATTTCTAACATCTAGTGTAGATCTCTCATCGCTCTGAGGGGACAGATGGCTCTCGGGGAGGAATGCTTCCTTACATCTGGTGGATGGCTGCAAAGTAAAGATTGCCCAAAAAAATTATGCAAGGGATTTTTACCTTTCCCCCTAACTTCCTTTTGGGGGCTTGGCACTCCCTAAGGTTAGGTAACTGAAAGGGGGCTTACATAACTGAACTCAGAGAAGAGCCGGTTAGAGAGGCTCACTTGGCACTGTGTAGGCCGAGGTGACCATCTTCCGAAGTGTGCAAGGCCTATCAGTCTTGGGGTGACTTGTCTGAATTGCACTTGTAAATTCTAAATACGTTCCCCTCTCTCCATCACATGTGACTACAGTCATGGATTAGATACTCTGTCTCCCCCGCAGATCTATTTAGAGCACCCTGGAGGAAACTGGAAGTCTGCTTTGGAAAGGGAGAAGGTTCTTAGTGGAGATGCTAGGCTAGGCTATGAGGAGGGCAGCTCCACGGGGAGCTGAGACAGGAGGATGGGTTTTCAGCCTCCTGGAGGACACACCGAAGTTGTACAGGGTCAAGCAAATGTTTCAAGGCCTTGCTTTTTCCTGACATAATTGAGCCACATAAATGATAAAATAGCAGCAATTTTATAAGGATCCACCTGATTCTATAACTCCTTTCTCTTCCGAAGCAATAATTTTTTTTTTTTTTTTGGTTTTTTTCGAGACAGGGTTTCTCTGTGTAGCTTTGCGCCTTTCCTGGGACTCACTTGGCAATAATTTTTAATAGTGTTCACTCTACATAGCCATTCATCACAAGAGTGGGATCCATTCCAAGAAATGTGCAGTTAGGCAACACTCTTGTTATGTGACTTTTGTAAGGTGAACTTGGACAAGGCAAGACAGGATAGCCTACTGTGTACTTAGTGTGTGTGTGTGTGTGTGTGTGTGTGTGTGTGTGTGTGTGTGTGTAGTCTGTGTCTAGGTATAAAATCTATTGCTCCCCAAGGTGAGCAAGACAACAAGAAATAAACATAAATAAACACAAGAGAAAGCAGCTCACCCATGAGGCTGAATAAACAGGAGCAGTATGAGGCCACTTCCAGCATAAGAAGGCATAATGATTTATTGTTAATTCTTTTCTGTAAGAAGGAGTACATTCAGAAATAATAATGAACTATTTTGAAGCAAATGCATAAAGCCATAACAAAGACATTCTTTATTAAGTATTGTGTACTCCACATAATTGCATGTGTGACTGGCATGAGGCAGGTTTGTTCTTACCCAATGTCACCTCACTACAGTGATAAGCCATGCATGAAACTGCAGCATCATTGGAGGACAGAATGTTTGCAGCTCCGTTTTGACTCTATGGGACCACTGTTGTACCTGCAGTCCATGCCTGGCTGTAATGCCATTATGCTCTAGCATGCTTTAGAAGTGCCATGCTCTATCTATAGCACACTAGATACTTTCATACATAAATTCTTGATCATGACGTCCACCTCACTTTAAGGAATAACTCACCAGCCCGATATTTGCTGCTGTGTGACAGTTACTCTTGGTGCCTGAAGTGCTGATGTCACCAGCACTGTCCTGATGGCATTTTGCCGTCTTAGAACTATCTTGGGCCAACCCCATGTTTCCAGGTCTGCCTCCATCCTTTTCCTCATTTCTGGCACCTCATTACTCTTTTCCTTTGTGAGCTCTGGTGTGCATTTAGAAATACATACAGCTACATCTTAAGCAAAGTGTGTTTCTGTCGCAGGATCTAGGACACGGCAGCTAGATGTGAAGTCAGTACAGTAACCCCATGAGTGGTGGAAGCTAAGCGTGGAATCGCTTTCCCAGAATGAAGTACTTCAGATGTATTTGTAGAAAGCAAACGCAGAATGAAGACGCAAATGAAACTATTTTTAGAACTGTAATTTCTAGAGCCAAGGCACAAGTTCTTAAAATAAAAAAATAATAAAAATAAAAAATAAATGTACATGAGGCCTTTTGTGTTTTCAGTTCAAGAAGTTTAGACATGATCAGGTACTATTTTTAATTAATTAAATTTTTTTTCAGAACAAAAGTTTTCCAGAGTAGAATGCTTTCCATACCCTATGGCTTTAAAAAGTAGACAGCTAGGTTACCATAACCTATCTTAAGTCTCCTTTGCTTTCAGATTCATACACCATCAAGTTACACTGTGATTCTTCCTTCTAGACTGCCAGCAGCAATGTATTTATATAAACTAACCCAAGGCCCTGATTGTCTCTGTTGCTCTGAATAACTGGTCAGAAATCAGATGCCTAGACACAGTGATCTGATTTCATACAAATGGATTTCATTAGAATAGGTCTTTACACACTGGCTGGCATATCTGTAGCTTGCCTTGCTAAGGAGATGGTAGTGTGCTGTGGGATGTTAATGTATGTCCTGTGGGAGCCCTTCTTGGGTTCCTTGTGGCGTTACCTAGCAGGTTTGCATAGAGGATGATTAGGACCATGGGCCTGAGTGCAGGTGTCTGAGATGGTCTGCACTTGGCTGTATTGGGGGATGGTCTGTATGTCAAGTTGCTCTGATTGGTCAATAAATAAAACCTGATTGGTCGTGGCTAGGCAGGAGGTATGGGCGGGACTAACAGAGAGGAGAGATAAAAGAGCAGGAAGGCAGAAGGAGGCACTGCCAGCCACCCGCCAGCCACCTGCCAGCCACCGCCAGGACAAGCAGCATGTGAAGATGTGGTAAGCCACAAGCCACGTGGCAAGGTATAGATTTGTAGAAATGCGTTACTTTGAGATATAGGAACAGTTAGCAAGAAGCCTGCCACGGCCATACAGTTTGTAAGCAATATAAGTCTATGTGTTTACTTGGTTGGGTCTGAGCGGCTGTGGGACTGGCGGGTGACAAAGATTTGTCCTGACTGTGGGCAAGGCAGGAAAACTCTAGCTACAGTAGTGGGACTTATTATTTCTCAGATGTGCTATAGTTTCAAAGATCTCTGGATTGCTAACACTTCTATCTTTAAAGAGTTCTGCTATTTGTAGCAGAACCTGGATCCCCCACATCCCTCCTCTGCTGCGCAGCATGTGACTGGGTGTTCATTTTCAGCATCCTTGAATTGCAGCAGCCTTTTGGTGGTTTTTCTTCTCTCTATTCTTTTTTTTTAAATTAAAAACAAAAGGTCAAGAATTGATGAATTGCAGTCATTTTTTCACTCCCTATTCCCTTGTCTCATCCCCAACCTCCTCTTGCTAAAACTTGTCTTCTCAACAAGTTCTTCTTCTTTTACATGTTCTTTTGATGAGTGGTCCACTGAGTTCAGGAAGAGTTAATTGTCTGAGTGGAGGTGGAGGTTCTTCAGTGGGCAATGTACTGAGTGTATTTAGTGGGCTATACACTGAAGAAAATTACACTCAACAACCCTTGATTGGAATAGTCCCTTTGGATGGATGGGATCCCAAGCATCCCTCCTCCTTACACGATGGAATGGTGACAGATCTATTTTGTGCAGGTCTTGTATAGATGATCGCAGCTGAAGTAAATTAATGAGTCCAATAGCAATATCATGTTCAGAAAACACCACTCTGTCACTTCTCTTTCCCATCTCTGTACTTACATTCTCTCTGCTCCCTTTCTCAGGATGTTGCCCGAGCCTTGGAGGGTGTGGTTGTTTGAATAATTATGACCCCAGTAAGGCTCATATATTTGATTTGCTTAGAGAGTGGCATGATTTGAAAGGATTAGGAGGTGTGACCTTGTTGGGTAGGTGTGGCCTGGCTGGAGGAAATGTGTCTTGGAGGTGGGCTTTGGAGTTTCAAAAGACCCAGCCAGTCCCAGAACCTCTCTTTTTCTACTTCCTATAGATTCGGATGTACAACTCTCAGCTCCTCCTCCAGCACCACATCTGCCTGGGTACCGCCATGTTTCCACCATGTTCATAATGGACTAAACCTTAACTGTCAGCCAGCCCTGAATAAATGAGACTTTCTGAGATTTATCATGGTCATGGTGTCTCTTCACAGCAATAGAAGACTGACTAGGACAGAGGGATAAGCTAGGTCTCCCAATTAGAATTCCATCATCATGCGTTCTGGGTACTTTGACCAGTGACGCTGCATTAACCCCTGCCTTCTGTGATAGGAAGCTTCTCTGTTGAAGTCTGGGTGGGGCACTAGTCTATGGTATGGACATGAGTCTTTAAAAGGCAATTTGACAACATGACCATTTAGCAGAGCAATAGTTCCCCTCCCCAGAGCCTATGGCTTCATCTGCCACCATAGCCACAGGCTTTTACCCAGGCTTACAGAACCAGGCATGAATTCCCTCCTGTGGAGAAGGCCTTAAATCTAGTCTGAAAGTGATTGGTCATTCTCATCACATCATGTGACTATTGCATTGAAGGGCACACCTTGCTTCATAGGTCACTCCTGTAGGTTGCAGAATAAACACCGAGTAAGGACATTAATGCTCCCCTGCCCCTAGCTCCTCTGGCACTAGGAGGGTTAGCCAAGAGGGAAGAAGCATGCATCTTAGCTCCAGTGTGATTTTTTTTGTATCTACACACCAAAGTGTGTAGGTGTCTTTCCATCAAGTTCTGGTGGGCAGCCAAGAGTGATGACAATATCTTGCATTGTTTTGATGACCTATGGGACCTTCTTGGGCAACACTTCACAGGGATTTTTTTCTTGATAGCCCATGGCTTCTGGGAGGAACATTATCCACCCCTGAAGGGTACATTCTTTCAAACTTTTTAAGATTATATTTAAAAAAACAAGCCCACATATTCTTTTATCCACACTGTTTCTCTTCATGCTGTCTGCTATAGAAAGTAGGAAGCCTCCTGGCAAATTCACTCTTGGCTATGGAATATTCAGCAGACCAAGGGGACCTTTTAAACCTAATAGTCAAGGAGGTCTTGTTTATAAAGTTGTTAAGTGCTTTCAAAAGAAGATGCAGTTTATTTTGATGTTAGGCAGAAAAGAATCCAAACTCTGTTCCTTTTGATTTAAGATTGTTTTCATCACACACACACACACACACACACACACACACACACACACACACACACACACACACCTATAAACAAGTGCACAGACTTACACACACACACACTTTTCTTTTATTCAAAGAAAAGTGTGTGTGTGTGTGTGTGTGTGTATGAATTTTATCCCATGCAATTTCCATGTGCCTGGCATGGTGCTAAATGACATCTATTAGGAGTCTGGGAGCCATAGTCTCCCTCCTCAATCAATTTGTAGGATAAAATAAATCATCCATTTCAAATCCACAATAGCATAATTATAATAAGGTACTCCTTGCATTTGAAGAAGAGTATACTACCCATATGGGATGGCTTAGCAGGGGAGCCTTATTTAGCTTGGAAGTCTGGGTAGTTTCTTCCTAAGGAAGTAGTATTAGGTAAGACTTTAAAGATGAGTTGACCTGATGAAATAAGGAGTGAGACTTGGAATATAAAGTGGGGAGAGGTCAGGGCTGGTGCTAATGTAGAGAGCTGGAGCAGTAGATGGATGCAGAGCAATGTGAATGGATGGGTATGGGGAGAAATGTGGCAGGCTGCCAGAAGAAGAGCTTAGGGTGGAGTAGTGAAAATGTGCTGCTGTGGAGTGACCTGGAATGAGTCTCTGGCCATGGAGGTGGATGCTTGAGAGGGAATGATGAGATTACTAAGTATAAGGAAAGAGTAGCTGAAGTGCTGAGATGTTCATGTAATGTTGAACTGGCCTACCATAATGGCATGTATTGGGTAAAAAGAAGACTGAGCTGAGTGCTACATTTCCCTCCCTTCCTCCCCTTCTGCCCGAGTTCGCTTTCTGTTGCTGTGATAAATGCAATGTCCAAAAGCAATGTGGGGATGAGAAGGTCTTATTTCAGCTTAAAGGTTATAGTCCATCATGAAGGAAGACAGGGAAGGAGCGTAAGCAGTACCCTGAAGGCAGGAACTAAAGCAAAGACCACAGAGCAGCACTGCTGGCTGGCTCGTTCCCCTGGCTTGCCCGACCACCTTTCTTCTACAGCCCAGGCCCACCTGCCTGGGGGTGACAGCACCAAGTGGGCTGAGTCCTTCTGCGACAATTAGCAATTAAGAAATGCCTCGGAGACATGACCATAGGCTAGTGTGATGTAGGCTGAGTCTCTTCTTTCCAGCTGTTCCCGAGTTGGGTCAAGCTGACAGCTGAAGCTAAGTATGACACTGTCCTGTTTTGGCTTTTGATATTGTGACAAAACATGGACCAAAAGCAATTGGAGAGGAAAGGGTTTGTTTGGTTTATACTACCCAATCACACTCCATCGTAGAGGGAAGTCAGAGCAAGAGAAGATGCAGGAACCTGGAGTCAGGAACAGAAGCAGAGACCATGGAGGAGCCCTGCTAACATGCTCACCATGGCTTGATCAGCTAACTTCATATAAGACCGCTCAGTGGAGCAGCTTAATGAAGGAGAGAGCTCCATTTGTCTGGAGGTAGTACTCCGAAGTCAGAAGTTATTAACATTGCATTAATTCCACTTCTGACATGCGATATTTGGAGTAGACAGAAAACATAGCTTGAGAGTAGCAGCAGAATCCTAAGGGGACATAGGGTCCAAGCAAAGTTAAGAATGTGTGTGTGTGGGGGGGGGCAGAGAGGAGAGACCTGAGTTAGATTCATATAGGTGAGGCTATGAAGAGATCTCTTTCCAATTTTAATCCTCGGGCATTCATCCAAACTGAATTTCTAACAAAACAGTCCTCCCAAATCTGAGTGAAATGATCCAGCAACAGCTAAATCACTACTTCCCAATCAGACTGTTTCACTTTTGTTGGCTTTTTCCATCAGATAAAAATGATGCAGAATATCATAGACATTAGAACATTCTAACACTTTCCATGTAAGTGTGTAGAAAAAGAGGGGATGTGAGGAAAGGGTGGGAGGCTGAAAGGTTATTTTATTTACATTTTCAAAAAGTTATTTCAAGAATAAAAAAACATATCTATGTTTTGAAAAAGTACATCAAAGTCTGAAATGATTTTTAGACATTTTTGATATGGCGGAAATTATGAATGTAACCCATTTTCTGAATCAGCTGATAGTTACTTTGTCTTTCTTTATTTTTCTTATTTAGACTGCGAATATTTCTGAATTTACACTCAAAAGAATGAGTATTTGCCCCTCGTGAGCTGCAGCTCTTGAAAGAGTGGGTCCTGCACCCCACCTGGGCAGCACAGTAGAGCTGACCCTGTTGGCTGGGGTGGGATGAGAGGTGGGGGGGGGGGCGTGAGGGGGCGGGTAGGGGGGTGAGTCAGCCCTGAGGTCTTGAGAGTGGAAGAGCTGACACCTCTCTACCCCATCCCCTGCCATTTGCCATGTGGTAGTATGGGTGAGGGAAAGATGCCCTCCTCCCCCTCACCACTTACCTCTTGCGGCAGGTGTGAGAGCTGACCTCTGGAACATGGGAGTGCAAGAGCTGGCCCTGATCCTCACCAGCTGCAGCGCCTTCGGGGAAGTGAGACCTTTGCCTCACCTGGCCAACACAACAGAGCCGGCCCTGGTGGTGTGGATGTCAGTGACCCCCGAGGGTGGGAGAGTAGGAGAGCTGGCCCTGCCCCTTGCTGCCTGCTGCATTGGGTGAGCTGGTTGGGGCAGTGCTGGAGAGCTCGCCCTGGTGGTGAGGTGGAGGAAGAGCTGGTGGGCTGACCAACCCAGCTACCATCCAAGCCCAGAACCAGGGCTGTGAGTTGGTCCATCCCAACATCTACCCCATCAAAGAAGTGCTGGAGCACATGAAGGGGCCGATCCTGCGGATTCAAACCTGCAGGAACTCCATGACACAGGACAACAACAGGATATCCAAGAGGAGCCCCAGCGAGGGCCAGGTGTGGACAGTGGAGCAGAAGCCAGAGGCCTTGAACCAGAGCAATGACTCATAGCAAGGCACACCTGCAAGTAAGATATGTGGACTAAAGGGTAAACTGTGTGACTTGCTGTGTCACACTACATGATGAGATTTTTTTTTCTTTTAAATTTTATTTGTTGGGCTTGGTTGCAAGGGAAGAGGATGGATATGAAGGGATGGGGAGATGAATGAGATAGGGATGCATGATGTGAACTCCACAAAGAATCAATAGAAACTTAAAAAAAAAACCAAAAGAATGAGTATTAGCACTCCAAAAACAAATCAGACAAAATAAGTCATAGCTATTTAAAGTTTATTTGTAAATTTAATTATTTTGTATGGGGTGTGCACTTAACCACATCCTGAAAATATAGTTGACTTTTTATTTATTTTATTTGAGTTTTGTGGTAAGATAAGCATGCTCAGTGCTCTGTCTTGATACACCTGTGTTTAGTACTGTACCAGATATCTAAGTCATTGTCCTGTTGGGTAGCAAATACAATACGTACCTAAGAGATAGCTATTTGCATCATATTAAAACAGATAAATTGTCTTAACAGGTCTGATTCTAACCCTTTAAACAATTAATTTCAAATGTTTTTATTAATTCTTTGAGAATTTCATATGTTGCACTTTGGTCATATTCACTTCCCATCTCCTCTGAGATCCATCCCGTTCCGTTCCCACTTAACTTCGTGTTCTCATTTTTTAAAAAATTTGTTTTGTTTAATCAACTTTAAAAAATTTATTTTACATGCTGACCACAGTTCCTTCTCCCTCCCCTCCTCCCCCTGTTCACTACCCCTGACTCCCATCTATCCCCTCCCCATTCACTCCTCCCCTGTCTCCATTCAGAAAAGGACAGGTCTCCCATGGACTTGAACGAAGCATGGCTAGCACATTAAGTTGAGGGAGGACCAATCCCCCCCCCCCCAGCATAAAGGCTGGTTGAAGTAATTCAGCATGGGGAAAAGGTTCTCACTTTTTAAAGCTCACTGAATCCCATTTTTTTTGTGCTGCCTTTATAACTTGGATATATGGCCATCCTCTGAAGCTTGGTCAGTGTGCCAGGGGCCAGGCCCTTTAAGAAAACTAAGTCTCCCTCTCCCAGGATCTATCAGTTGCCAATAGCTCTTCAGCTAGGGGTAGGACTTTGTGACCACTTCTGTCTTCCATGCTGGGATTTTTTTTTTTTCTGATTTGAGATATGTAACTCTTGTACATGCTGTTAGAACTGCTATGAGTTTACATGTGGCTATTACAATCTTTATGTACGTCTCTTCCATGATGACTCCTGACCTTTTGGAGGAAGGGGTGCAATATAGATGCCCTACTTAGTGCCGAGCACTCTGCATTCTTCTGTTCTCTGCATGTTGACCGGTTGTGAATCTCTTCTGTGTTAATTGACATATGTTTGAAAAAGAAGCTTTTCTGATGACGTCTGAGAGTCACATTAACCTATGAGTATAAGGATTAGTCATGAGAAATCAGTTTAATAGTATGTGCATTTAACAGAGTCATAGTAGTAGGTTTAGACACATTAATAGCGGGGCCAGGTATAAGTTTTATCTTGTGGAGCAGGTATTAAATCCAACCAGAAAGTGGTTGACTACTTTGATGACATTCCTGTCACTATTGTACTAGTGAACCAACATTGTCGGACTGGTCATTTTTGGAGTGCCTAAAAGAGGGAGGTGGTCATGAATTGTATCCTTAGCTGATGATCTACTGGCAGTTAGTGGCTTTTAGAAGAGGGAAAATTCATTTTCTTTAAGGGTGGAGCCCCTGCTACAATGACCATGTTCCAGTGTATAACCACACAACCAAAGTTATAAGGACTCAATGAGCATTAAGGAATCATAGCTATAAAAGACTGATAACTACTTTCATTCCTCAGTAGCATGCATAGTACCTTCCAGCACTATGAAAGCTAGCCAAAGAAAAGGAGGCTGTCGAATTCGTACCAGTCTGATTCCTTCACATTCCGTGATTTAAGTGTGTGGTGTTTTCAGCAATAGGGTCTTAGTGTCAAGTTCTGCAGGGTAACCAAAAGCACTGGCAATAGCCTGCAATACTTGCCATGGGACCTAAATGGCCAATGATTCCAAAAGAGGAAACCCATTCCTGGCTCTGATTTTTTATTTGTTACCTTGTGTTGCATAGTAGGGATATTGCCATCTCATTAGAGTGTCATTCTTTCAGAATTCTTTTTATTTCTAGGTATGGGAAGGGATACTATTTTCTTCAGAGGTGTAGCCATCGTTGAGTTGTTCATGTTCCAGTAAATGGCCTGCTACTCATGTCCATTTCAGCAACCATAATCAAGCAAAGTGGGTTCAGACAATTACCAAAGACCAAACAACAAAGTGGGATGAGACTTGTTGCTGAGAAGACCAGTTCTCAGCAAAAAAAGAGGGATGGGAGATGAGAGGAGGCAATGCAGAATGAGATCTTTCTTTCTCTCCCTCTATGTGTGTATGCATGAGTGTGTGTGAATGTGTGTGTGTGTATACATGAGTGTGTGTGTGTGTGTGTGTGTATGCATGAGTGTGTGTGTGTGTGTGTATGAAATTGTCAAAGATTTTAAAAAAGAAGGAAATCACATGGAGAATTTTAATTCTTTCAAATCTGAATCCCTTTCTTTTTCTTTTGAATGATGAATTAGTATAGAAATGAAAAAAGCCTGCATCTAATGAAGCAAGTTATACAGAAAAACGTAAAGTGTGTGTGTTTTTAAACAACACTTAAGTTTTTAATGGAAATGGTTTTCTTATGAAGTTTTTCATATGATAACTGAAAATTAACTTTTAATTTGATATGTTTTCTCTTCCAAAAGAAACTGTGTCTTTGGAGGATATCCACCGGACTGCAAGCAAAACATCCCAAAGTGCACATCTGCAGTATGACCTCAGACTCCGTGGTGCCTTCTGCTCTGAGAGGCTCAATGAATCCTGTAGCTGAAGTCTCAGGGTCTGTTTAGGGTACATGGAAAATGTTCAGATCACTGAAGTCATGGCAGCTTCTTCTCCAGGACACTGACATCTACTAGCAACACACAGCCAGGGAGTTTAAGTACTAGAGGAAGAGATCAAGCTATTAAAAAAAATGAATCTTTATTTTATTGGTACAATATATTCTTCTATTAGTAATTATGTAAAAATATCAATAATTGTAAAAAATCAAGACTCATAATTACTAAGAAAATAAAAATTTTCTTTGTGGATCATTTTTTTATGCTTTGTTTGAAACAGCATTTTAATTTTAACAATATTCCTCTTAAAATTTTCATTTAATTGTTTTGTAGTCTTGATGACATTTAAGCCCAGGGTCTCATGCCTGCTGGGTAATATTAATGTATTTTCTAATTGAAAAAAATACTTATTTATTGTAACTAGAGTTTTCCTGCCTGACCCACAGACAGGACAAATCTTTGTCACCCGCCAGTCCCATAGCTGCTCAGACCCAACCCAAGTAAACACAGAGACTTATATTGCTTACAAACTATGGCCGTGGCAGGCTTCTTGTTAACTGTTCTTATAGTTTAAATTAATCCATTTCCATAAATCTATACCTTGCCACATGGCTCGTGGCTTACCGGCATTTTCACATGCAGCTTGTCATGGTGGCGGCTGGCAGTGACTCCTTCTGCCTTCCCGTTCTTTCTTTTTTCCTCTCTGTTAGTCCCACCTATACTTCCTGCCTAGCCATTGGCCAATCAGTGTTTTTTTTATTGACCAATCAGAGCAACAGATTTGACATATAGACCATCCCACAGCAATTTATAAAATCAGCTACACTGAACCAGTTAGAAGAGAAGGTGGCAATAGCCTTGACCACATTGGCACAGGAGAAGACTTTTAAAACAGAACATTATTAACACAGACACCGAGATCAACAATTAATAAATGGGACCTCATAAAACTAAAAAGCTTCTGCATGGCAAAGGACACTGTTTTTCAGACAAAGTGGTAGCTTACAGAATGGGAACATATTTTTTCCAACTTCACAACTGATAAAGAGCTAATATCCAAAGTATATAAAGAACTCAGGAAACTTTAATAATCCAATTAAAAATGGGGTAGCGATCTAAATAGAGAATTCAAGATACTCAATAGATGAGAAACACTTAAAGAAATCTTCTACATCATTAGCCATCAGGGAAATGCAAATCAAAACTACTTTGAGATTCTATCTTCTGTCAGAATGGCCTAGACCAAAAACACAAGTGATAATTCATGCTGGCGAGGATGTGGAGTGAAGGGAACACTCCTCCATTGCTGGTGAGAGTGCAAACTTGTACAGCCACTTTGGAAGTCAGTGTGGCGGTTCCTCAGAAAGATGGGAATTGATCTACCTCAAGATCCAGCTGTACCATTATTGGGCATATATGCAAAGGACACTTCATCCTACTACAGTGACACTTCTCAAGCATGTTCACTGCTGTTCCCTTCATAATAGCCAGAAATGGGAAACAACCTAGGTGTCCCTCAACAGAAGGATGATAGAGAAAATGTGATATATTTACATAATGGAATATTACTGGGCTTTAAAAAAATGAAATCATGAAATTTGCAGGCAAATGGATGGACCCAGAAAAAAATCATCCTGAGTGAGGTAACCCAGACCCAGAAAGATAAATATGGCATGTGTTCACTTATATCTGGGGATTGATTAGCCATTAAATAACTAAGCTACAATTTATAGACCCAGGGAGGTTAAGCATAGAGGAAAGGACTAGTGGATGACACATAGATCTTCCTGGAAGGGAGATATAGAATAGATTTTATTAATGGACTAGAGCAGGGTTAGAGGGGCAAGAACAGGAGGAGCAGGTGAGAAAAGGGAGGGGAGATGGGATTAGGGAGGGAAGGAGTGGAGAGATAACTAGAAATGGAAAGCATTTGAAGGGTGGTGTGGAAACCTAGTAAGTGGAAACTTCCTATAATATATGAAGATCATTCTAATGAAGTCTCCAAACAATGTTGGAGATGGAACCTCTACTGGCCATATTTTGTTACCAAATAAAGTTTCCAGTGCAAGGACTGGGTTTCATCCAGTTGACTGGGTAGCTGAAAGGGTCTCATGTCACTCCCTAAATAACCCAGGCTGTTGCCAAGATGATGGGTTGCTCTCCACAAACTGACAGCAAACAATTGCTAAAGACAGACTCCACACAACTAATTGAACATGGAGAGGTTGAGCTGGTGCTTACATAGAACCTTCACCCCCATGTTCAAGTGCCTATGATGTAGAAAGATACTCTGCAGGCCACCAAAAGAGAAAAGTAAACACTAACCTAAACATAAAACCTTTGGCCTACAATCTGTCCTGTTTTCAAAATACGCTACGGCAATGGTGGCACAAACCTTGAGGGAATAACCAACTGATGTCTGATTTGACCCAAGACCCCCTCCATGAGATAGAACCCATACCTGACACTGCTTGGGTGACTAAGAACCAGAGTCTGGATAGCCCAGAGACCTAGGGTAAAACCAAATACTGCTAGTTTAAAAAGAAAAGTAACAATAAAATGACTCTTAGTGATAATTCTGCTCTACTCACAGATCCACAGATCAGTGCCTTATTCAGTCATCATTAGAGAGGTTTCTTCCCGCAGCAGATGGGAACAAATACAGAGACCCATAGCCAGATGTTATGCAGAGGGGGAAAGAGAGAGAGAGAGAGAGAGAGAGAGAGAGAGAGAGAGAGAGAGAGAGAGCGAGCTCAGAACATAGAGTTCTAAATAAGATGTTTCCCTCAACCCCCGCCCCCCACAATGGAACAGGAAGCAGGCAGAGTGTGGGAGACAGAGGGATGGAGGACACCAGAACTAAGAAACTGAAACAACAATCACAGGGCCCACACGGGGCTGCACCAGGTCCTCTGCATATGTACTATAGCTTCCAGTTTAGTACTTTTATGGGACTCCTAAATGTGTAAACGAGTGTGTCTCCGATTCTTGTGCCTTCTCTTGGGACGCTTTCATTTTTCTGTTGACTTCTCTTGTCCAAATGATGGTTTTTGTTTTATCTTACTGATATTTTATTTTGTTATATTTGGGGTTGTTATCTCCCAGAAGCCTGTTCTTTTCTAAGGAGAGACAGAAAGAGCGTGGATCTGGATGGGAGAGGAGGTGAGAAGGAACTTGGATGAGGAGAGGAAGGGAAAACTATATTCAGATTATATTGTATGATAAAGGAATCTATGTTTAATAAAAGGGGAAATCACAATCAATAAATAAATATATTTATTATTAAAAGAGATAGGCAAGTGGACATATGAGTCATTAAAAGAATACTTACAGTTAATTGTTTTCTGGGTTCCACTCTGGTAGAGTCTCTTCTGTGGTAGATGAGTGTATAAAAATGTAATTGACAGTGGAAGCATAAAACCCTTAGTGAAGCTCCATGGCTTCAGAATGGCCATTCGAACTGCACACAAATTTAATGGATTTTGCAGAGTTTGGGAAGGGAAAAGTATTTGTTTGAGTGGCTACCATAATCTAGCTGTGTGAGGTTTTTATCTGTAAGTTCATTACAATGAGGTGATTTCATGTTTTATTTTAAAGAAGAATACATGTATTTATTGCATACAACATACCATTTAAAAGTATGTATACATGATGGAAGGTATAAATCTATGTGAATGGTGCGTGGATTAACTTACATATTTACCCCACTTTTGTAGTGAGACTTAAAATTTACTCTCGTCAACTAATCAGAATGCAAAGCATTTTGTTGACCATAGTCAACGTGCTGTATACAACAGATGTCCTGAAGATATTCTTTTTATATAACCACGCATCTTCATCCTTCGACAATATTTCCCTTTGATGATACCCACCATTCTAGCATGCTGTATGTTATCCTTTTGGGCCTGACTTGCTTCTCTCAAAATTGCAGCCTCTAAGTTCATCTATGTTGGCACAAATGATGGATGTCCTCTCTTACGATGCTATTACCATTTTCCTTATACACCTGCCTACCCATTGATGAACACTTGGCTTTATTCTGTCATGGCTGGTATACAGAGGGTTGTGCTGAACATAAAACTGCCAGTACCCGACACACCGATTTCTTTTCCTTGGGTATGTGTCCCGTGAAGAGAATGCTGCATATTACTGGAGTTCAATTCCAGGTGCACATAATTTTCCAATATTGGTAATGCAGTCAATCTATGTATGTCACAGACTTTTTCTTGTAGACCTCCTATGTGTCTGGAGTAATAAAAAAATGTGTTGATACTCAGATAAAAGCAAAGTCTTAAGTAAAAAAACAAAAAAACAAAAACAAAACAACAACAACAACAACAAAACCCTGAAAGACATATTAGTGAAGGTGGCAGGTGTGAGCCATTGGCCCATTGTGGAGGTTATCAGGAGAGTAAGTTGGTGTTGAGATTTCCAGGAGGGCTGTCGAGCCAACAGGGATATATTATTTTGAAATTGAGAACACTGCCACTTTATTTCCAAGGCCACTAGGCTGAAAGCTAAATCAAGTCCCTCACTTTTGACCCTTTTACCAGTTAGTGAGATGCACTTTGTAACTCTGAGCTGCTCGCGTGAAGACTAGATTTGTTTATTCCTCATTACCTTGATGAATGAGAAATGAACTGCATAGATAAGAACTTGTCATTTGTAAGAGATGTTGACAGTTGGATCATCATTTGTTATATGAGATGTTTCATAAAGAAGTTTAGCTCGTGAATGTCATAGAAGGCTAAACTAGGTCATGATAATTCTGGCTATTAAAATAAATTTCATTATGTAGTTTTTGGTATGTTCAGTCAAACTGAGCACATGCACGCATTCTTTGATCAAAATTTATTAGCATAAAACCGGATTTATAGAAACAGGAATTTTAAAAAAATAATGTGTATTTTTCTTAAGGAATCCAGAAGAGTTTGTGGTACTTCCTGTGACAGTAGAGTTGGTTTGAACTTTCGTAACTCTGCTTGTCTTGCAGGCGAGGAACTAACTGTTCCTCATTCTGGATTATATTTCCATGAATGCTTGGGTTCTTAACAGCAGCGAAGATAGAGCTGTTATCTCCATTTGCAGCAAAGGTCACACAGGCTTCCATCTCACTGTAAAAAACATGAACTCTTTCACTTTGGGGTTCCTCTGTTCACACACAATGCTCCACACACAGGTGCTACTTGACCCTCTTCACATCACCTCACAGAATGGAGGTCTGTCTACTGGTA